GATGTCTATGGGAGAATAAGGATGGGAATTTCTGTGGGAGGAGGCTGGGGTAGGAGAGCTAGTACACAGTGTTAAGTTGGGGGGCAAGGAGTGGGTACAAGTTGTAGTAAGGACCTGGGTAGGGTTTCTTGAGGGCATCTTCTTGTTCACAAATATTCACAGATTTAATTTAAGTGAAGGTCATTCAACAATAAAAATGAACTAGTACATACATATAACAGGTTAGTGGTAGAAAGTGGTATATGAAAAATAAAGCCAGAAAGACATAAGAAGAAGGTAAGAGAAAGTATGAGCCATTTTATATACTGGGTATAAATGAAAACTTGAAAGACATTTTGAGCAAGGAGGATACAGATATCTTAAAGAATCACATTCCAGGAAGAGAAAATGCCAAGTGCAAAAGTCCAGAAAGGGGAGAGTTCTTGATGCTCATAAAGAACAACAAGGACAGACACAGTACCTGGGGCAAATTTAGAAAGAGTCAGAAGATGAATTATTTTATGGTTAGGTAGCCAGATAATGTTGTATTGTATAAGCCACAGTATGGCAGAGAGCTTGAGTGGGTTGAATGCAAGGAATGACATGATTCTTTTACTTACTGAAGACTTATTTGTACTGCTGAGTTGAAAACACACGGGTGGGAGGGGAGGTATAAGAATAGAAATAGTAAGACCAGTAAATAAGGTCTTCCAATAATCAGAAGGGAAGATTATAGTGTCTTGATTAATAGAGAAAAAGAGAATCAGGAATCATTCAAATATGCCGGTCTGATGACACTGAAGCATGGACTTGTGTTTTAGAGACGTAGGGAAGGCTGTAGAAGGTTTAGCTTACTGGGACAAAAATAGATGTGTAGCTTTGTACAGGATTTTGAGAGTTAGCTAGCATAAAGAACATGTTGAAGAACCATAGGATAAATGAGTTTGATTTGCAGAAGAGAATTCTAGACTAGAAATAAAATTTTGAGAATCACTTTGTATATGGTATTTATAGTCGTGAGGTTAGAGTTTATTTACGAAGAGAGAGGGAGAGTAAGAAGCTATTTCAATGCTAAAAGATGGTATTGCAGAGGAAGAATGAACAAAGGACATTTATAAAGGCAGGCCAAGGGAGTTGGTATGAAAATCATGAGTATGAAGTCTTCAGAACTTGACTGAAGTATGTATATCAAGAAGGAAAGATGACCACCTACCAAAGGTTGCTCAGTGAGAGGACAATGACTTGCAAGGCCTTCACCAATTTTCCTTCACCATTGATCACTTCATTTACTTTAATTACTTTCCATTTTCTCATTCACACTGGTGCTCTCATTTTTTTCAATAACAATCTTTTCCTTACTGTTCTACTTGAGTGGAATGTTCTTTCCCAGATAAGTACTTGAGTTACTCCTCCAACTCTTTCATATCTTATCTCAAATTTTACCTTCTCAGTAAGATTTCTTCTGAAAGTCTGTACACCAGCCCAATTCTGTAACATTCTCTGAGTATTTGGCATGATCAATTATTCTCCATAGCGTCTCTCATCTTGAAAACACTTTATATTCTATATTAAAAGATATTGCCTGTATTGAACATTTGCAGATATTTTTCCTGTCCTCATTTCATAAACAATACTGTATAACAATTATTTATAAAACATTCATACTGTATTAAATATGATAAGTGACCTTGAAATAATTTAAAGTATGTGAGACAATATGCATAGGTTATATGCAAATACCCGAAATAAGAGACTTCATCATGAGTGAATTTTAGTATCTGCAGAAGAATTGGAGACAATTCTCAGGTATGGAAAGATTACCATCATTATTAATTTCTTTGCACTATAAAGGTAGGGTTAAGTAGTTGCAATAGAGACCTCATAACACATAAAACCTAAAATATATGCTATATTATCATTTATAGAAAAAGTTTACCAACCTTTGTTCTAGAAAAATGGAATAAGTTTAATGACAGCTCAGAGTGCCTATGCACAGTTAGGTGTGCTTGGTTGATTCAGGCAGGATTTTTTCTCCAGCCATGTTTTGTTAGGTAGATTCATGTGTCGAGAAGTAGACACATAGATGAGTTAAACAAAGCTTGGCATCTTACCATGTCATTTAAAGGAAAACAAAGGGTCAAAGGAATTGAGGATTTGCCAAGGGACTGATTACAATGATCAACTAAAAATGTAGACTGGCTACATATGGAATGAGGGTGTTAGGGGAGAGTGTGAAAATAGGAGAGCAATAGATGTGTGGTCTCAGTGTAGTGAATAAGCTGGAAAGGTAGACTGAAGTTAGAAACAAGATGGCTAAAAATTAGGTTAGAAATTATTTGCAGTGATTGTAACTTAAGGGTTTTAGAGATTTAAGTGGCAAGGGCAAGGTGAGGTCAAAATCATAGGAGGAGAGAAAACAAGTCCCAGCCTCTGTAATTGATTTGTCAAGTGATTTATATTGATATTACAAGTTTTTCCAAGGTTATTTACACATGAAGTTTATACTTACATGAACCAATAAGAATCATATTTAGGAAAGTGTGGAAGGTATTTTTCATGGGTATTAACTCGCAAAGAGTAAGACTCAAAAGGGAAAATATCTCAAAATTGTGTCAACTTGCATAACCAGCATAAGAATTTGTGTAAAATATGACTTTTTATCCTTGCCTCTGCTACTTTATCTCTAATCTGCTTCATGCACTACTTACTAAGTAAGATCTAGGTGGCTTGCAGAGCATAATTATTTTTAAATCATTGTGATGTCTTTCAGAAATATCTTTGTCTTGTTAAGTAAGCTTCATTCACATGTCAGGAACACTCAGATCTCAGGATGTTGTTATATTTTCTCTCAAAGGCTTAACATCATCCTACTAAAAAATAAAATATTTAGAAAAATCATTGTGAACATTGTGTCTATAAAGAAAAGCAAACAGTTTATAACCTCAGAGTTTGTGCCATGTTTGGTGGGTTATTTAAGGTACAAGGCAAGGAGATAGTAGTTACATGTTTTGTGTTTAAGGCATTTGCTGGACTGTTCAAGCTTTCCTTTGAGTGACATTAACTCATTTGCTGTGTCTGGGAATTCTTTCCCTTTATATACTGAAGACCTAGGTTTAAATAATTTTTCTCAATATATGTACCTACATATGTATTATACATGCATAAATAGATAAGCAGATTTCTAAAAAGATGAATAGATGTCAGAGTTTAAAAAAATTTTAAAGACCAAAATAGAAATTTATCAGTTCTCAATGCTCACTTAGTAGACAGTACAAAAGTACTTCATGTGCATTTTTAGTTGGCCATATGAGTCTTCATGGGTATGTCAATTAGTAAATCTGCCAAAATAAGAATACTAATTTATTTGTGAGACATCGTATAAATATTTCCAAGATAAAAATTACCAGTACATTCTGAACACACTACAACAAGAGCAAAACAACAGAAAAGAAGCTTGGATGTGGTGGCATTCACCTGTAATCCTACACTAGGGAGGCAGATGCAGGAAGATCACAAGTTCAAGAACAACATGGATAACAAAGCAAGTTCCAGGCCAGAGTGGGCTACATAGTGAGGCTCTGTCTCAAACAAGGGAAAAGAAAAGAAAAAGAAAAAAAGGATAGGAGAGGAGAAGAGAAGAGAAAGAAGAGAGGGGAAGGGAAGAGAAGAGAAGAAATATGATGCTCGCATAGTCAGGGTCATATACTATGTGACACACAGAAAAACACCTCTATTTCATGTTGTGATGTATTCCTTAGATTACCTTTTAATAATGGTTCAGAGAGGTTGACTCACAGAGTTGTATTAATCCTGAGGAGCCATATTCACATCCAGATGGCCCTCAAGAGACAAAAATAGTTGTAGAAACTAATCGATTCATAAAGTTTAAATTGTTGTTCTGAGTAATGTGATGATCACTTGCCAAACCCCATCACCCCTCTTGGGATGCGAACCATCCTTTGTCCACTGTCACAGCATATGTGCTGCCTAATTCAGGGCAGCTGACAAGGGAGAGAGAGAAAGAGAGATGACATTTATATAACTTATATAGTATACTGTTATAATTATTCTATTTTATTAGTAGTTATTGTTGCTAATCGTTTATGGTGCCTAATTTATGAATTAAACATCAGAGGTATGCATACATAGTAAAACTGTAGAGTGTATAGGGCCCAGTATTATCTATAGTTCAGGGTTACACTGGCCTCCACTGGGAGTCTTAGAAGATATCCTCCATGGAGTAGGGAAAATTACTATATTATGAAATTTTGACTTGTGTTGATATTCTTTTGTATATAATTACTTATTTTGTTGTTATTAAAAATTAATAAACACTGGAAAGAATAAGAATTATAATTTAGCAAGATTTAGACAGGGAGTAATTCTCTTATTGTCTTAAAAGTGACTTAAAACATTAAGATATTTGTCCAGGTATAATTTCAATTATTGATGATATTTTTAATGAAAGTTCATGAAAATTTCATATTGTAATTTACAGTTATACATAGGTAAAGACTAGTAAGATATAATTTCTTAGGCCTTATAAATTAGCATTTATACTTATAACTAGTATGGCCAGAAGAAATGAAATACAAAACAAACAAAAAACCTAAAAAATACTTTCTTTCATCTTGTTATTCTCACCTTGATATTTTGAAGGGAGTCAAGAAATCATTTTCTTTCTGAATTGCATTAGTGTTTTTTTTTTTTCTGTGAGTTTGTGACACACTAAAGGAAACATAAAATAATAAAAATCAGGCAGGAAAACAAGTGAAATTTGAAAAGTTATTTTCAAAACAAAATTTTCCCCAAAATGTTTACTCTTTTGCTCTCTCCTAAATCCCAACACTCCTACAGCAAAATGTCCATGTGCAGAATTCCCATTGAAGTTTGAAATGTTAGAGCCCCTCAACTGACGTATGAATCTTAGGAGAGATGTCATCTATTACATTTGAAAAGAATGCACACACATAAGAAAGAAGAATTAACAAAACAGAACAAAAACACTGCAGAAACTAATGATAAGTACACAAAGTACACAAGTGTATTTATTACATTTTGCAAGCACTTTGTTCTACATTTCAAAAACGCCACCATCAAGCTGTTGGCACATTTATGTACAAAACAGATTACTTGTAATGCCTGCTACAAAGCACTCTGAGAAAATACAAACTCTAATACCAGAAATAAAAGCCAAAAGTGTCAACATCGTTACATAAATTTAAAGACAGTTTTAAAAATCATCACAAACTGTAAAGACACAGAACCAAAACACTATAATATAGAATTTAAAGAAAGCCCATTAATACTTTTGCTGAATATATTTAATACTGCATATATCAGAAAAATGTTGAACCAGCAAGATAATCTAAGTGTGTAAAAAAAGCAAAAGGAATCTCAAATTAATTAGTACTACAGAATGCGTAATCATGCCACAGATAACCCTAGTTATACCCCTAGCTACTACAAGAACTTGTAAAATTACTGATGATGCATGACTAATAGCTGTACAAAGATTGGTTCACTCAATAAATTTTATTAGAAATGCACTTACACTGAGGAAGAGTTTCACAATGGTCAGATCAGTGCACAGTACTATCTAGTTTTATACACTGACAAAAACATCTTGTCAGTTTACATCATTTTAAAAGACACTTTACAGCATTCTTGTAGCATTAGAAATAAAAGAAGAGAGTCAAGGTTAAAACAAACACCAAATTTGGTCCAATAATACTGATTGCTTTTTCTTTAAAATTCCTCTGATACAGGTACTTATAAATGAATATGAATGAACATTTGGTTAAAATGACTTTACTTGAAATAAAAACACAAATGTATCACTACACTTCTAAACAATACATTCTATATAGTGGCCTCTGACCACATTTTAGAAAACACTACAGGTAAACCAATGTAGATTGGAAGGTTGCAAGCAAAGCTATTATATTAATGGAAGCCTTTTCAAATATATCATACACATTTTAGGAGTAGTTTACAGAGGTGCAATCCGTTAAAACTTTTAAAGTAGGTAAAACAAGTTTTGAGGAGTTAGTGTGCTTATTTTTAATATATCACCTTCATAAAGGCAATTTTCTACATTAGCATATTAAAAGTTCCAATCCAGCCACTGAGTAAATGACAAAAAGATCATTCTCCAATAGTCCACGGTAGTTATTTTCATTAAAATTGTCTCTACGCTAAACTTTAAAAGGTAAGCCTGGTGTGACAATCTTAAAAAGGCAGCTAGCCATGCATTAGCATCACTGTTTCTACATGCTCACAACATAAATATGAGTAATTAGAGAAACACCTTTTAAGTACATCATGAAAAAAATACAATGTTAACAAAGATAAGAAGCACTTTTTTTTAAACCTACCCTTATAAATTTAGAAATTGCACCTTAGATTGATGAAAACATTAACCAGGGCCTATAGTACAGTGGCCACTGATCTCCAGACAAGATTTCCATATTTCAAGAAGAATCATCGTGATGTAATCTCTCTCTATTGTTTATTATAATGTACAATGGTCCCTTTGAAGGTTACCTGTAGTTAAACTAGTTACCGAAATCAAAACTAAAAAGTATAAAAAGCTATTTTCTTTTCAAAACATAAGAAATAATGCAAAAAGTGTTATGTATAACACACGAGAAGTGGTTAAAAATCAAAGAAATCTTTGCATTTGACAATGTTAATATCTTTGATCTTGTAGAACTATTAAATTAGTTTGAGAAATTAAAAAAAAAGACTGGATAGGAGCTTGTAGACGAGACTTGTTTATAGCAATTTAACAAATTAGGAATTAAGCGCTAAACAACAAGGAATTGTATTCAGGTGACTCATAAGTCACCCTACATATCATTGATGAGAAGCACTTTGATTTTGTTTTTCAAAAGTTGGATGGTTGGATGGTCCTTAGTTAAACACCAATGCATTCAAGTGGTAAAGAACAGAAGCATTTATTTATGTGTAGGCATTGAGCCGCTCCTTGGAGCGAGTCGAGTGAATGTCATGAAGCTCTTGCTCCTCCTTTGACTTGATGTCCTCATACTTCTGCATCCGGCAGGCATCTTTCACATAGGCCCAGTTGGCAGACAGAACCATAAGGTAGTGAACCTAGGCAGAGAAAAACATATTTTATACCAGAAGAAGTCTGTTCACTGTCATCATTATGCCTTGCTATCAGGAAAGAAATATTTAAATTATGTATTTATATAGAAATGCTAACATTTAAAAAAGGAAACAAAATTTTTTGTGGTAACAAGAATAATATAGATAAAATGTATTACTGAATCCATCATCGATATTTCTTGTTCTTTTTAAATTCTGAAGTAATCAAGGGCCAATTCTAATCTTTATGTGATGTTTACTGTCCATCCTGCCCTCATTTACCTAACCATAAGACTAAATACTTTATGTTCATGTGTCTATGTTTTACAATCCATAATCAGAATTATTCTCATGTACGCTTTATACATTTGGGCTTGAATTAATAGGAGACTGCCTCACTGAGCAAGATAAAAAAGGACCACATATCCATACCCTTGATATAATTATCAAGTTAATCTTCCATGCAATAAAGTTTTCAGTTCTCTTTAGATCACATTGCAAACTACAAGACTGAAACTATTGTGTCATACAAAGCCTGCATATTTATTTATTCAATCAGAAAAGCAGCATGCTCAAAAAGGAAGAAGCTCCTGATTTGTTAAAGTTACTCAAGAAATGAAGCCCTTGATTTGACTTGAATTGACTCAGCAATAAGATCACTTATTTGTTTTTCTTTCTTTTCTTCCCTCCTGGTCCTCAGGAGTAATAAATCAGTTTTCTATATGATGGATATTGATGGATGAGTATGCAAGAGAAACTAAATTGTCAGTTATGTACTTTCTCCGAGTTTAAAGGAGTGGACAAATGTTTTTCCAAACATTTAGAAAAAAAAGCACTAAATATCTTGATTAAGTCAAGAGCACATTGAAAGATGAAAGGCAGACTGGTAATAGAAAATTACAGGTTTACAAAAAGAATACAAAGTCAATTCTAAATTTTGAATATTGTAGCAAGACATCCTTGTTCAATCAAAAGATGCATAACTATAAATTATAAATTAGTTTTAGAATTTTCTATTTCTTTTGAAATTTTACATTTTGTTTAATGGAATCGTTAAGTCACTTGAAAGCTGGGGAGGTGAGTTATATTCCTGTACATTGTGTCTTTACATTGTGAAAGGTTAATCACTGTACACATATGTGGACCAATAAAGCTTATCCATACAAACTTATATGGCATTTTGTTCTAAAATTAATAAAAAATGTTTTTCAGTCCCAAAAGGACTGTCACTTGTGATAACATGAGTAAACCTGGATGACATTATGTTAAGTGAAATAAGCCACACATAGAAAGACAAATATTGTATGGTCTAACTTAGATGTGAAATTTTAAAAAGTTAAATTCATAAAATTCATAGAATGGTGTTTGTCAGGCATTGTTTGGGAGATGATGGTCAAGGGATATAAAATTTAGTTAGAAGAAATAAGTTTCAGAGATCTACTGTACAACACGGTGGTTATAGTTAATAACAGCATATTGTACTCTTGAAAATCACTTAATAGATTTTAAGTTTTTCCCAATAAAAATAAGTGAGGTAATAGATTTCTAATTAGCTTAATTCAGCCATTTCACAATGGAAACATTTAAAAGTCTTACAAAATGGTAAATACACAGAACTGTCAATTAAGAAAAATAAGTAATTTACACTAAAAATAACAAGTGCAGTGAAGAGTATTTACTAACTAGTAACTATTCAAAATATTTGTTGAATAAATAAAAAATTTTAAAGGCTCAAAACCTTCCTTTTACTATGTAGGAAAATAAGGTCTCTAAACTATTGTTAAGTAGTATTAGTCAAATCCTAAAAGAAGCTGATGCTACCTAGTGGGGTTTACAGAGATGTTGTCTGGCCATATAGGAAACAAATTGACAGGCTACTTATCCTTCGCTAGGTGATGTAATGCCAGACTGACTAGTTTTGTCATCATGTAGGACTTCCTAACATCACTGTGAAATAACAGAACACTTGCTAGTTTTAATACAAATTTTCATGACCCTTGCTTTAAATTATAGATGATGCTTTAAATATTTTGATAAAGTAGAAGCCATCTTAATTTATCACCTATGTTACAGAACTAATGATGGGAGCTATGTGGTGAGCACTGAATGAAATTTGTTGGAGGTTAACAGCAGTTGCTATGAGTATAGAATGTGTTCATGCACATAAAACACTTAAGTGCTTTCAACAGAGTAAATCTTTAGTGAGTGTTACTAACCCTGGTACCACTGACACTGTAGTACTAGGAACAGTAGCAGTAGCTATCTTATTCCTGCCTCCTAAGATTAAATTATAACCAGAGCTGGGAAGGTTGAGAATACTGTTGTTAATCATTTAAGCTAGTACTGAGTTTTATGGTGACTCTGTTCAAAGAAGAAATAACCTCAAAAGAATGCTCAGTATTTTAACAAATAATCTTCTAAACTTTTCCAGTTCAAAATAAAGCTCATGCTTGCATTACATCTAGGCATATGCAAAGCATAGATTGCTTAGGAAATGTTTCACATTAATTTCTGTCATCTTAAAATCTTTTTTTTTCAGAGCAAGCATTTTTAGGAACATATAAATAACTTTGTTTAGACAAGTATTCCTCCCTAGTGCATATCTAAAGGCATTCTTTTTAGAATTTCACATGCACATAAATTCAGTTAATACAAATAAATGCTTACGTGTACTGCTGTTCCTCAAAATGTACTTTGACGGATATATTTGAGTGTGTATTAGTTGTACATACACATGCTACTAAAATGTATCCACTGCAATGGAATGTGGGCATGAGGACAAATGTCCACCTTTCCCTGACCTCACAGTTTGCTTTGTGCTGTGTAGGATCATAAATGCCTGATATAACGTTGCCCAGAACTTGTTGATGCTTCTCTAAAGCAGACGTTAGCATTAATTTTAGTTTAAGTATGTAAATATTTTGCTTATTGTTATACTTTACTCACTCTAATTAAACAGTCACCATGAGCTTATGCAGCATCTCACACTGTGAAACAAAATTCCTATGTAGAAGTTTACAGTCACTATACCTTAAATGTTGAACAATTATAAGTTAATAAAACAACTAAAGATTCACCTTAGCATTGTCATACTTCAGTAGACTTAAAAATTTTTGATAAAAAGATAAAAACACTTCATAAAAGTGTTTATAAAGTAATTAAATAACTGGTTGGATATAACTAACTTTCATATGAACATTTTTTCCACATCTCTATTTTTTGCCTTTGGCAAGAGATAAAAATAATCTTTTCTTTAATAAATTATTGCTTTCCCTAACATATTAGAAAATGTACTATCATCATTTTTATACTTTACCATCATTTAATCCATTTTATGGGTTAAAAGAGTTGAGAGTTTACTGACAACCTCCAAGAGTTCTATTCTACTTATCTTACAGAGCATAAAAAGCTACTAATGATGATCAGAGTTCTTGTTCATCCTTGGTATTTGGCATTCCAAGGAGCCAAGTAAATTTGTTTGGCTGACTATAAGGATTTAGCTCAATAAAAACCTGAAGAGTTGAAAGAGGATTTTACAACTTTTTGTTAATATTTCTATGAAATATTATAACTTGAAGCTATCAGAATGATCTTAATAAACATAAATCAATCACATTTTTTTCAAATGTGACTCAACATAGATTTTCTTGTTCTTCATTAAACAGGAAAAGGAATAATATAGATTAAGGAATTGATTATGTTACTCAAAATAGCATACTCTTACATGTATGCAACAGAAGTAGTTTTATATTAAGTTATCTAAAATTTTAAATCTGATGTTATCAGTGTTGAATGATTAAATCCTTAAAATTTTTTATCAGAAATTGTCTCTATTGTAATGAAAGTAATTACTTAGTTAACTCTTGTTTTTCACTTATTTATTTGCCTTTTATTATCTTCCTCTCTTTTACTAACAAAATAAATGTATTTCATATGATATCACATGAGAAATAAATTATCATTTATGCAAGAAAATATTTTGTCATTTAAATTGCAAAACCAAATATTGAGTGTTGAGGTCTTACCATAGCAATAACTGCTGCCCCAGCTCCAGCAAGTGCCACAATAAACAAGTGGAAAGTCATGTTCAGCTGCAACAAAAACCATAAATACCCAAAATGTGTCAGCTATACATAGAAATCAGGACTCCACTCTGTCTTATGAAGAAGACTTTGTACATTGTTAACAAAAGTGAACTTTTGATAAATCATGTATTTGATCAAAAATATTATAATATCTTCTTCAAGTTATTTAAATTCTTGCAACTGCATTATTTTATATAATTTCATAATAAAGATGAGGCTGTCATTGATGATAGATTTCAGTAACAACAACATAAGATTATCCTGTCTATAATTTTTCATTATAAAATGAGTTTCTAGGACATCTCAAATATTTATAATGATTTTTATTTAAATGTATAGACTATCTCTTTCATATTTCTTCTCTAATCCTTCAGTATAGCACCATTGCCAATAAAATTATCTCTGAAAAAAAAGGAAAATTCAATATAGATTTAATTGTATCATATTTCTTAATAACAATGAATGCTAAAATTCTGACAAATTAAAGACTGTAAAAAAACTCACCTCAGTAGATTCACACATCCTCAAGAAATTCTCAGAGACAGTGCAAATTTTCTTTTCCTCTCCAATTGTCACAATCCCTACAATGTGTCAAAAATTACAGGCTAGCATTATAATTCGTTTCAAGAACAACTTTTGGCTACACAAACTTCTCAGCATGTTTCATTTAATGTTATGTTATGTTATAATGGATACATTCTTCCTTAAGTTTCATTGTGAATAATAATTGTGTATAGAATTATAATACAAGATGCAAAACTAACTCAGAAATTTAAAACATTTTCAGTCAGAATTCAATTGAATCTAGCCACAGGAGCATTCAAGTTCAATTGTAGCTAGTTCATTGGTTTGGTCCATTTGGTAGATGCATCATAATTATATTGGTAACTCTTTCCCAGACTGTACTGAAGTCAGGATCGAAATTTATGCAGCTGGTACAATCTTCTGTTAGTCTATAAGAACATATTGCCCAAATGAGTGCTTTTCCTCTGCTAATACTGAAAAATTGCTGCTAGTTGCAGAAATTAAACACTGCCATTTCATTCATATTTACCTTCATGAACCATATGTTGGCTCATGAACCAACCACATGAGAAGCACCTGGGGAATTGTCAAATATATTTATTTCTAGACTGCAGTACAGATTTGCTAGGTGGGAATCTATGAATGATAGTCCCTGGAATAGTGTGATTTTTAGACAAGCACACAAGCAGTTCAATGACAGGATACCACAAGTAATTGACTTCATTATTCAATGGTTTTGGTTTGGTTCTGAGAATGACTGAACTGTGAAACATATATGAATGAAAGAAAAATGCTACTCCTTCTAAGAAACCTAATATTAATCTTTTAGCATTGTGGTCCTATATTTGTGTACATATATATATATATATATATATGTATTTATACATTCTTAATGATATATAGGGTATATCACTAACTTTTCCTTTCTTATAGAGCTGCTGCTGTTAATTTTACTTTGCCAACAGTTTATGGAATCTATTTCAGTGTAAAACAAAAACCTATTTGCAGTATAATGCAGGCACCCATCTGTACAACCTTTCCTATCTGCCAAGATGGGTCTAAGAGAAGAAAAGTCTCCCCCAAGAGATTTGTCTAACAAAATGAAGATTATTGAGAAAATTTCCTGGACAAGGCTTTCTCCACATTAATCTATCTCAGATTCCATTCATGTGGAATTCACATGCTATACATGCATTTCCTTACCCAGCTCTTAATTCACATTTGCAGCAAACTCCTAGAAAGTGTTGATCATTCTCATTGTCTATATTTTCTCTCCTTTCATTTCCAACTATACTCTCACAATTCAGAATTTTCCCCAGTGCTCCAAGGAAAGTTTTCTATAAAGGTCACCAGCTACTCCTCAGGACCAATTCTTATTTTCTTGACAGCAGTACTGGAGACAGTTGATCACACACTGCTCCTTCATACTCTCTTCATTCGGTTTCTGAGATCTATAATCCTCTGTTTCTGTCTTTCTATTCTATTTTCCCTGGCTCCTCCTCAGTATGTTTGTCTGGTTCTTCATCTCCTGTATGACCTCTTAACTTAAACTGTTTAGTTTTCAGCTATCTTTCTGCCTTACTGATTCTTTCTGGTTACAAGATTAAACATTATTAGGAACTCTTAAGACTTTCTAACCAGTTCATACTTCTCTCTAGAAATCATATATTTAGTTTCTTACCTGGTGCCTCTATTTGAATTTCAAATAACTGTATAAAATCAATGTATGCTAGTAGAAATTTTAATCTTCTTTTCTTGTACCATTCCCAAGAAAACTTTCTCATAGCCTTTTCCATCTCTCTGATGATAAATCAATATTCTGATTGCTCAGTGAAAAGCTAAGTTCCTCTTGAGTTCTCTTTTTTCTCAAACTCAACATCTAATCCATCAGAAAAATTCTGCCATGCCTATATTCCAGATCTCCCAAACAGATCACTTTTCCCCATCTTTTTCACTAATCTCCTGATCCAATCCACCAATGTCTCACAACTGGATTACTACAACAGATTGCTACTCCAGGTTCTATCCTAACTATAGTTACTCCTCCACATACCAGTCAGAGTGGCCCTTCTATAATGAGTTGGATCATGGTGCTCTCCTTCTGGAATCCTGTGATGACTTTCTAGTTCCCTGAGAATAAAAGCCTCAAGTCTATAACATTCTGTAGTACACTCATGGTTGTACATTACATGAACTCTGATGTACCACCTCAATCTGTCTATTTTCTTATTCTACTTCAGCCACATTGGCCTTCCTTTTGTATCCTGAAGCTTCCAGGCATGATATTGCTTTGGAAACTTTTTACTGGATCATCTGTCTCATACGAATGTCTCCATGGCTAAGTCCATCCTGTCCTTCAAATAGAAACTAATTAGTGAAATTTTCCTCCATTATTCTTTTAAATATTTTGTCCCAACTCTTTTATTCAGGACTCATGGTACAATCTATACATGTGTATTCACCTAACCCCTGCATATACATACATACAGGTAATGTTGTTGTGTTATGTATACCATGTGCTACAAGTATATCTATCTCTACATGTAGTCCAAGTCAATTGAAGTTTATGAATGAATCTGAATAAAATGAAGCAATATACATAGGCAGATGTAATATAAGCTGCCATACAAATATTAAAGTCTAATTTCTTTGATTTGTGTGTATATCTCTGTAAATGTCCAAATTAATCTAACTAAATATGTCAATTGCTGGTTCATAATTTTTTCTAAATATAGATAATATATATAATTATTTACTAAATAAATTTACTAAATTATTTCCTAAACAAATATATAATTATTTACTAGCTATAGAAAAGGTTTTAGCTAGAATGTATGGACTGACATTTGCAGCTTCTTAAAAGCAATTAGGACCAAAAGCAAGTAACATGAAAGAATTGGACAAGAGAAACAGCAAGAACTCACTATGAGGGGATGTTAGTGAGATAATAGTGATGCCTTAGAACTGTAGTCACAGGCTTTTTCTACTCATCCTTATGTCTTTCAAGATGGCTAAACATAAGCAGTAAGCTTTCTAAGAATTGGTTGTGCCTGCAATATGAAGAACTTCAGAGAAATTTATGAGTAATGTGTCTATAAAGTTACTATTACTTTTACTACTAAGACAATAAAAACATTTTGGTGGTTACTGGACAGTTGAAGCATCGCTTCCAGGGTATAAATTCTTATCAATGGCCAGGCACTGGTGGCTCACACCTATAAAGGATTAAAGCTAATCAGGAGGTGGAGATCAGGAGGATTGCAGTTTGAAGCCAGCCCAGGCAAATAGTTTGCAAGACACTATCTCGAAAAACCCCAATACAAAAAGGGCTGGCAGAGTGAAACCTCAGTACTGAAAAAAAAAAAAAAAAAAAAAACCCAAAACTTCTTATCAATGAAATTAGAAGAGTTAGAAAAAAAATGTGTATAATTATAGCATCCTGATCTCTTCCAATGACAGGAAATTGATTCCCTGCTACGAAATATAAATGCTTACATTTTAAATAATCTATAATTTACATTACTAATTTTAAAGATGATAGAATTCCTAGAATATCATTTTCCAACCTCTAGACAACTGCCCATAGTCCTTAACTCTTAGGTCTCCTTTTCTATCTTCAAAGTCAGTAATATTGTATCTTTCCATAAGTAGTTCAACTAAAACTGCCTTACTCTTCTCTTCTGACACTCTCTTCCGTCTTTAAGGACCCCTGTGATTACATTGGTACCACTTTGATAATATCCAGGACAATTTCTTTATTTTTCAATTAATTAGCAACCTTAATTTCCAACTGTAACATTAATTCCCTTTTAGTGACACCTAACAGGAATACTTGCACAGAGGAATAGCATCAAAAGAAGAATATGGCCAAGATTTTACCAAATAAATTCTTGAATTATTTATCAGAAATGAGTGTAGATCACTAACAGCAATAATATGTAGGTAAACATTCAAAAGATTTTCTATTAACACTCTGTGTGTCTAGGTTCTATAAAAACATAAAATGTCCCTTTGAGTAGAGTGGACTGGACTGAAGTCAAAGTGCTATTTATTTCTAGTTTCTTAACTTTGTCATCTGTTATATCCTGGACAAACAGTGCAGTATTTCTAAAGCAAGGCTGCCTTCTCTACAGAAACCGTGATGACCATAACTATGACCTCAGTGTAGGTCAAACTTTATTCTCTTAGTAAGGAGATTTTTTCTTTCATAATTGAGTAGTATTGAATCTTAATAGGTGTTCATTACTATTTTTTTAAAGTGTATATAAAAAATGATATGAAATCTTGTTCAGCAGTACTTTAGGGAAATCAGACAAAACTAAGTTCTCTTCTAACAGAGAAGATTGTGCTGAATAAGAGGGGAGATTTGCTAAAAGTCTAGAAGCCCCATCTATTTTGGATCACTCTCTCTCCATGCTAATCCTGCAGTAGGTTTTTCAAGTCTTCAGGTTTTAAAGAAGCACTGTTTAAAATGTTGGCTCTAGGCAATGTGCTAGGACTGGGTTGCAACATTACATGACATAAATTTATTAAGATAAACATCTAATACATTCTATGTCACTGATTTCTGGTACATATAGCTGGAGTGTAACAGAAATCATAACAAAAGCACTAAAATGTAATTAAAATTACTTAATGTCACATTTTAAAGTACAGCGATACCTAACACAATAAGCAACATTCAAATTCTTCAATTGTATCAAATCATGCTTCTGCTTCACATCTTCACCTTTGGGACATGTGAATGTGTCAGTTTATAAAACAAAGGGGACTTAAGATTTCAGAAGAATGTTAGAGTGATGACATATTGTTGGATTTGACAGAAGTGGAAATGCCATCATGTATCATAAGCATAGAAGATTCCAAAAACAATAAAAATCTACTTTGGCGTTGGAAGTTGTATTTAATTCCTACCGCTGATGTAACAGTAATTCATAGTTTAAAACAATATGAATATATTCTATTATATTTCTGAAAGAAGACTAAAGTGAAGGATGCATCAGGGCTGCATTCCTTCTAGAGGGTCTAGGAGGAGAATCACTTTCTTTTTCCAGCTTCTACAGACCACCCACATTCATTAGCAAATGAATCCATATTCAAAGGCAACAACACTGAACCTATCTGGATCTGCTTATGGTAGTCCATTTATTTCTGCCTGACTTCTTTTGACTCTCTCCCTGACTTTTAAAGACTATTGTAATTATGCTGTGTCTATCGATGTGGTGATAATAACAAATATAATAACCTTTTTCTATTGATAGCTGACTAGTAACCTTAACTCCATTTGAAATCTTAATTACACGCAGCCTCACTTATTTTTAGGCTCCAGGAATTAGGATGTGAATATTTTTTGAGAGAGTATTATTCTCCCAACTAAATGAAATGATAGTTTACTTAGTATTAAAACCAAAACACAAATTTTTTTCTAAAAATTTTATTTGAAGGACTGTTGCATAGAAAATAATTTCACTATGATTTAGAACTCTTGTCTTTATATCACATGCTACAGAGAGGTATCCCTGGGAAATTATTTCTCAGTTACAACTCCATTGATTTTCTTTCTTTTTTGAATGTCCAGGATGCAATTAATTTTTTCCTCTTTTTTATTGGTGTATATTAATTGGACAAAGGAGTTTCATTGTGATATTTCTTTATATGCATGTAATTGTGCTTTAATCAAACTCACTCCCACTACTCTTTTTTACCCTCCCACCACAACAACTCCAGACCAGACAGTTGGATTGGTGGTTAATGAAATCCATTTATAAAATTCTATGAAAATATGCTCAATATCATTTGTAATCATATATACTGCATAATGTAGGTTTCATTGTATTAAGTAAAATTATGTTAATTTGAATACATTGATCATTAACAGAAAACTTTGGAAGAGACAAGTAGCTGAAAATATTAAAAAGAGGGTCTACTAATCATTTTGGGAGGATTATTTTTCCACTCTTAAAAGAGAAACAAAGAAAATTCAGTCTTTTCCTAAGCTTTTGCTTTGTTTTTCTTGTCTAAAGTCTGTTTTGATAAGATAAAGTCCTTAAAATCACCTATTTTCATTCATCGCACCATAGGAAGAGAAATGCTTCCCCTTAGAAGCATGGCAACCTGTCAGCTATTCTTGAAAATGCAGACTTTCACATGAAAGACATCCCACCTTGAACTATGCAAGACACTTTTACAAGAGAAATTAAGGCTCTGGAAGTAGGATGAACAGTTTTAACAATAAAATACCCTCTGTGTGGCTCAGTTGAATTTTAATTTCAGTCAAGGGGCAAAGAGTTACTCTAGTGTCCCATGCAATGTTTTTGTCTATACTTGTACTAAAATATTTTTTCTTGTTTATTTGGAATTCATATTTAACTAGATGTCCTACATATTATATGTCAATCACATCTTTTCTAATTTTAATTTCTAGGGTCAAGAGAATAAAAAGATGAAAACTGTGAGGCCAGAGTCAGGTTTTCAAGCAGCCTCTCTGCAGTGACCTCCAGTGGTGGTTGCTGAGATTTCCTTTTCTGTATTTTCAGGCACTTGATTCCAAGGGTAGAACCTCCCAGTGGAAAGATCTGTCCATATTCCCTCTTGCCAAGAACTTCATGCACAGAACACATTATCCTGATTTTCACTTGGATCAGACTACAGAGGTTCTCTGATTTCAGCTAACAGGATGGCAGGTGGGTCACTTATTTGGACCACCTAGTTCATTGACTAAAAAATAGATACAGTGCACTGTAATAATGTGTGTATTCATAGAACCCCAAAGCCATCAAATACTGTTCTGTAGAATGTTTAAACTTCACTGAACTATGAAGAAGTTCCATTAGAGGAAACACTTAGAGTGTCCCCAGATGTTAGTAGGTTAGCTTTTAATATCTCTTCAGGCAAATAAACAAATCCATTTACAAATGTGGATTTGCATATCTTTTATAAATTCTGTGCTTCCATACTTTCACAAATGATGAAGTGGAATATCAAAGGAGGTAACTGAGATTAGACTCTAACTTGCCACACTTGTAGTTCACACTGGTTTTAATATGAGAGGCAGCTGACTTAGGAGTAAGAATCCAGACTCTGAAGATGGTCTGCCTTTATTTAAATACTGGCTCTGTCAGTTCTTAGCTGTAAAACCCTGGACAAGTCATCTGCATTACTGTGCCTCAGTTCTTTCATCTATGAAGGAAGTTAACAGTATTTCCCACTATAAACAGCTTTGAGAATTAAGTGATCTAATGTGAACTACTAAGAATAGGGTCTATAAATGATTATTACAACACTGCTTGGAATTATAGCATGGGAATTAGAGAAATGGTGATATAATAGTTTATGGGAATAAATCTGCTAGAAAATATCATTTTGGCAGAGGTTTTGATATGCAAAGAAAAACTTATCCATTGGCATTTTAATGCCATTTCATTCATTTAACTTTGTATCTTGCTTACTAAGCACAAGACCCTGAGTTCCATCCCTAGCATAATAAATACACACAAAATATAACACAGGTGACTGTTGCTCTTTTTTTTAATCTAGTTTTAAATGCTAAGGTTTCTTTCTCATTTTAAAAGAGAATGAAGCATATCTCTCCTAGGTGGTGTTCCTACTAAACTTCTCAATTTGTGCAGTTTATATGAGACAATGAAAATAGGACACAGACATCAAATGGAGTTTCAAAAAAGCATAGAAATCACAGTAGGCAACCACAATTTTAACCTACTAATTTCAGGAAGTGCAATATATAAGAGCCAATTCAAATGTGCATGTATACATGTACACTGTGAGAGCAAATCCATTTACCCTTAAGTCCCTCTCTACCATTTTAAATCTAAAGCGAAGTGTCAAAAAAAGTGTGTAATCATATAAATTTACCTCTATGATCGTAGTAATAGTGTTTCCCAAATGATTTTCCCATTTTAGTGACAGCTATTTAATTAAAACAATGAAGTGGCATTTTATGCTGAAATGTAAAGGATCTACCTACCAAACTGACGAAGGTCCAGGCAGAGATTTGCTCCCTCCACCAATGTGGTGTTTCGGCAGATGGTCCACAGATTGAAGTACATATAGACTGGCAGTGAGGTGAAAGCTGTGACTCCCAGCCAGGCCAACATGAAAAGGTATGTCAGCATAATAAACTGCAACAGAGAAAAATGGGGAGAGACAACATATAACCTTCTGGAAAAGAAGAATTTTTGCTTTTATTCTGCAAAGCTCAATCTAGAAGGTTTTTAGAGTCAGTACATAAATAATTAGCATAAAACTCCTAGATATTATAGAATTAGAAATGGTGAATATAGTGGGCTATGTAAGCAGACCTGCTTGAAAGTCTCATTTTGGCAAAGGTTCTGATGTAAAAAGGAAAAAAATATCCATCTGCATTTAGTCCTTTTTCATTCATATATTTATTCTGTAAATCTCCCATTTTTTTCCTAAGGTTTGGAAGATAATACATTTAGAGTAGTTTCTGCAAAATGTGGAATTTTACTATAAAAAAATCCAAATGAGTGAAAATGCTATCAGTAAATTTATATCACAACTAAACTGGTACCATTTTGTATCATAAATACTTAAGTTAATTATTTCATAATTAACCTTATAAATATGGAGATTCTCAAATCATATAGGCATATACTAATAATAGTAAGTGTTTATACTCCTCCTTTTCGGTATTTTTTGTGAAATTTAAATCTGTCTAACTCTACTCAGGTGTTAATTTTACTTTTGCAATAGAAACCTAGCAAGTATTGTTTTAGTTTTGAAAATGAAGCTTTGTAATTTATTTCAGAAACATTTTTAATGTTTATAAAATTAATTGAAAAGAGTTGATGTAGCCTCAATAAAGTTGAATAAGAGACTTGGCTTCAGCATAAATTTGCATGAATTTTTAGTTCAAGCATGGTAGAGATACTAGATAAAAGGTCATGTAGCTGCATTTATTAATGGATGGATGTTAGATAGTAGATAAGGAAAATCTCTACAATGTAGCCCTTAGCCACCAAAACTAAGTTTCTATAGATACTTGTTTCTTCTGAATTTCAGAAGCACACTTCTAGGATACTACATAGAAACAGTACTGTGTTCTAGCTTACATTTGGCACCCCAAGTAATCAGCCATATTTTAAATATCAATATAACATATAATAAATACACTGATTCAAACTAAATCTCTGATTCAACCTTATTAATTCCTTTGTTGATCAGTTGTATTTAGAATTCATCCCTTGATTTGGGTAAAATGTCAAGTGTCAAGTTTATTTAATAACAGTCATGATATATATTAAAAGTATTTCTTTGAAAAACAGTAAAATTGAAGACAGCATCAATGTTAAGTTAGCTCTTGGTTGAGCTAAAGCATCTATGTTAAGTCATATTATGATTAACACTGACAGATTATTGGGATAAATGATGGATAAATATTAATAGAGGTAGGATATAGACAGTGAGACTTGAAATCCAACCATTTTCCTAAAAGTTGCTAAAAGCCACTATACTTCAGAGACTCAGAATATAATTTAACACATGCTTCCTAATAATACAGTTTTATCTCACCTCAGATCTGACTTTAGTTGTCCTCTACTACAAAACAAGAATAGTTAAGAGAAAAAGTTCGATGAACTCATTTCTGTCCCAACAGTGTCTTTTGACTATGATTTGGTAGACATTTAAATCTTACACATGTAAGATGAAACAAAGTCTTCTCTAAAAGCATTAACAAATAAAAATTGAGCCTGAAATTATTTATATTAGTGAATGAATTGGCATAAATATCCTTAAATTCTATTTGTTCTTTTGAGAGTATTATTAAATTTTATATCACATTTAGAATTATTTAACCTTCCTCAACAATTATGCATAAAAACATGGTAAGATGTCAATCATATATATTATGAATACTTCCTTCTTATTTAAATGATTAAAGGAAAAAAAATACTCTATATGGAGATGCAGACAATATTAGGTTTTGAAACACACTTGACTGTGTGTGGTCAACATTTTACTTGTCTTTACCAGAGAAAGAAGACAATATTTCTTATGTGCTCTTTTGCCTTTCTCCTTCCCAGAATGTGAAAAATGAAAGACGTTAATCAACGAGATTCCCTGAGCAGTATGGTGTGGGGACCAGATCGGAGTTCCTCCTTTCTCAAAGTCTTCCCTATGATTTCACATCATTGCTTTAGCAGCCAGAAAAGGAGAGAAAGATCTGCTAAGCCTCAAAGCATGGATGAACTTACTACAAGGGATGCCACCAGTCACCTTTAACATTAATAAGCTGCATGCTTATTTCCCATATTTTGCCACTTGATTCTAATATGTAAGAGATGAAGATTTGTTTATGTATTCACTTAATAAGTACTGATATTATACTTACTGTAAGCCTAACCTAAATGTCATATTTACTAAATAAAAAGGGACCTTAAGACATTGATTAAAGATACAGGCTTTTAGGCTGGCTGAGATAAGGCTCTGGTTTAGGCCTCTGTCTGCCTTTTTAAACTCTAAACAACTCTTAAGTTGATTTCATATGTTCCAACCAGGCTCAAATGAGATAATATATGAGAAATATTTAGCATGAAATATCTCACATAAGAAGCTGTGACAAAGTATGTGTTGTTATTATAATTGATAATATTATTGTGCTTATTACATCTACCAAAATATTTGTTTTGCTTGAGTAAGACTATATAGAAAAAGAGAAATCAATTTTATTTTGTGATGGGAGAAATTAAAAGCATGAGATCCTCTTGGGTCTGGGAAAGTTATTTGAAGGAGTCTCAAGAAAAAAAATGGCTTCAGACATTCTTTGAAACCATTCCAAATCTGAAGAAGTCCTTTTAAATGAATGCTTTGGGGGAAAATTTTGACTGCTGTTTTAAAATTTATTTTTTGTAATTTTAGATCTCAAGGCTAATGTAGAGTCTCAAGAAAAATGAGCATGATATGATATGATATAGTCAAGCACTGCTTTGGAGGAATAAAAGCAACTCTCATGTCCACATGCTTTGTCTCTACTTTGTTTTTCTTTCTTTCTGCCCTAGGGCATTTTTCCAATAGCTCTTTTGAAGGTGGTATCCTCTGTGGAATGGGACCTATGATTCCACAGGTTTAGATTCAAAGTGGATGGGAGCACTTTGTACTGCAGCTGCTACTTTACAAAGCAATGGAAGTGTGACTTCTGAAATCACAGTACTGACTCATATTTTTTCCCATGTAAATTATTAAGTTGGATGTTATAGAGACAATCATCATAGTGAGAAAATATTTTACTACTTTTACTGCACAAGTTTTTCACTAAGAAAATACAGACTTAACTTTTGAATTCTGAGTCCAAACTGTGTTTCTGAGCATAGCAGTTCATACTTACTAGTCCAAATTAAAGAAGCTAAAAATAAAAAAAAAGAATCCAATATTTACCAAAGCTGAAGAATTGATCAAACTGATCATGTCCAATCTTAGAAAGTCTTCATATGTAATAAAGTATTTCATAAGTTGAAAATTATTTTAGCTTTTTTAGTAGAAAAACTTATTTTCAGTGGAAAAACTATTGAGAATGCAAAAACGTCTTCATATTTTGAAAATAATTTTTGTGTATGTGAGCCTTTACTATCTGATTCACAGTAAAGCACTCACTGAAATTGAAATCCATAACATGTTTGGGGAACACTGGAAAAATTAACTAGGAGAAGTTATGAAAGCACCGCTGGACTTGAAGTCAGAGGACTTGATCAGTATTTTATAAGTTTGGCTAACACTTAACTTCTTACAGTTACTTTCCTCATTTGTGAGCTGAAAATTAGACAATCTCTGTCCCAGAGCTGTGAAGTAAATAAAAAGGTCTTATATGAAGGCACTTAGTAGTAAATTTGATTCACTATAATGTCTAAGACAGGAAGCTGTTTACTTTAGCACAAATTAACTATTTTGTATTTTCAAAGATTAGGTGTAGATAGAAAGAAACTGCTTCTGTCACACTTAGTATTCATTGTTTTGAACAAATATGAATTTTAAAAGAAGGATGAATTCTGTAGTAGCTAGATATAAAAAAGCAGATTCACTGGTTTTTGTCATTTCAGTCATTATTTAGGATCACTAATACATAAAAATACTGACTCCTTCCTCCTGACTCACAAAAAAAATTCAGTAAAACTTTCATATTTTGAATTATACTTAACAACTGATTTAGATAGTAAAATTGCTAGAAAATGGTAAGGATGGATGCCAAATGTTTAATATTGAATGTACACCTTGATCATATTATTTTAGTGTTATGTTATAAGAATATGCAAATTACTGTCCAAACATGAATCTTCTTGTTACCATATTTCTTGTTTGGTTTTTCTTTTTTGCTCAGTCTAAATTTGTTGAGAGACTAGGATGTATTAACATTAATTCAATGAAGTTGATATGGATTATTTCTTTGTGACATGATATGTAATTGCTGTTTTGTTGCTAACTTAGATATTCTAATCAAAGTTAGAAATTTAGTAGAGAAATTGAGGCAGAGGTACAAGAAGTAAGGTTTTCCTATTCTTTGTAAAAAGAGTACATATCATTGCTCCTTGACTATCTAGTTACTGAGACTGCACTGTGTTTAACATGAAAATGACTTGTAATAGGTAATTGTTTTTTATATTAACTCCTACGAATTTATATTTATATAATGGCTAAGAAAAATCACACTTTTTGAGCTGGAGATTTTCTTTGGTAATTTTACCAGGTATGTGCAGTTAAAAGTTAGCAGCATTGATGAAAATAACTCAGCTGACTTTGACTCCAAAAGTATCTAGGAATTAATTAACTAATTGCTGAAAAAAATCACTTATTGAATGGAATTGCATGCTATAATTAATAATTGCAGATGTAAGGAAGTTTAAACTTAAATGAATAAATTGAACCTATTGGAATATTCAAAGTCTCTTCATAACCAAAAATGTATTATCAAGTTTAACTCAATTTATTATTTTATAAGTTCTCCTCATTAACTGCCTCAAAGACTGAGATACAAAAAATAGTTTCCAAAACCTTAGCTAAGAACTATGCATTTCACAGGAATATATATTCAGTGGTATTTTCTCATCTTGGAATGGATTTGAAGAGTATCAGGCCAGTCATGTTTATACACAGAGTTTAAAGATTC